GCCCCAAAAAACGCCCCTACGATGATTTTTGAGTTATTTTTGGCGATCTTGTTAGGAAAATTCTCGGGGATGACGTCCACGTCCAGGTTCGGGCGCACCAGGTGTCCGGGGGGTGTTCGCCGATGCCACATTTGAATTCAGCGACCCAAGAAACCCCCGGGCGCTGAGTTTCTCTCCTTCCCCGCTTGAATTTTGGGAGAGCCCCACGGAGAAGACGTTCGGGGCCAGGGTCCGGTGCACCAGGTGTTTGGGGGGTCGATGTCGACGTGGAATTTGGATTCAGCGCCCCAAAACCTCCTTCATATCGATTTTTAGTTCGTCTTTTTCGATTGTGCGAGGAAAACCCACGGAGATGAGGTCCACGTCCAAATTCCGGTGTACCAGGTGTACAGGGGATCGTTTTCGACGTGAAATTTGGATTAAGCGCTCCAAAAAACGCCCCCACAATGATTTTCGGATTGTTTTTGTCAATCTTGTCAGGAAAATTCTCGAAGATGACGTCCACGTCCAGGTTCGGGCGCACCAGGTGTTCGGGGGGTGTTCGACGATGGCATATTTGAATTCAGCGACCCAAAAAAACCCCGGGCGCCGAGTTTCTCTCCTTCCTCGTGTGATTTGTGGGAGAGTCCGACGGAGATGACGTTCATCGGCGTTCCTGAGCCTCAGGTGTTCGGGAGGTCAATTTGAACATCATAATCGTGATCAGCGACCTCGAAAACCCCCAAGTACCCGATTTGGGCCAGTTCTGACTCTTAGTTACAAAGTTTTGAAATCTTCCAAAAAGCGTCTCAAAAAATACATTTTTTAAATGCATTTTTGGCTGCAGCAATGCAATTTCCGGTTTGTTAGAAACACAAAGTAGCCACATTTTTTACAAAAATTTTTGGAAGAGAATGCAAAAAACCGCATTCCGATCAGTCTTTATGGAAAAAATTCCGAACTTTTGGCCTTTTTAGTGCTTCATTACCTCGACTATTAGCAGAGTGTACTTCTTGGGTTTCCTTTGTGTAAAAAAGTGTAGTTTTGTATAAAATATTGTTTGAACTAAAGTTTTTTGTAATGCATAATAGTTATTTTTTTGGATACATCTAGTGCCAATATGAGGTAAGAGATTTTTGAGTTGTATAGAAGCTATAGAGGTATAATTTTGTTTATATTATTGCAGTCATTTGTCAAAATAGAAAATGAAGAGGGTACTAACCACTAAAGAGTTACTTGCTTTGTTAGAAGAGGATTCAGATTGTGAAAATGCTGAATTGGTTGATGTTTCTGATGTGCCGTCAGAAACAGGTGAAATTACAGATGAGGAAAGCTTTGATGAAAATATTATTGGAGAAGAGGGATTGAAGACGGATATTGCAGGAACGTATGAAATACAACCATGTATAGATAGTGATGGTGATTTGGAAGCTGATGTTTTTAGTTTTTTATGTGAAAATGTTCAAAGTAAGCTGGATGCAAATGCACTTTACACTGTGCACACAACGAAATCTCAGCTAAAATTTCTTTCGGATTTAGCACTCTCTTTAGATACAGAAAACAGCGATGGAAGACCCTCTCAATCCGCTCTACCAGGTGAAGTCAAATTTGACAACATCGGGCATATTATATAATAGAGAGGTTAATAGTGCAAGAAAAAAGTGTCGATTTCGCAAAAATAATACTATTTATTTATGTAAAGTGAATTTGCATCCAGCTTACTTTGAAAATTTTCACATAAAAAACTAATTTAGTTTTATTAATTTTAATAACTGTTTTCAGCCAAAGGTACGTATACACACTTACGTGATTTTTTTCAAAATACTGTATATGATTTTTTTCAATAATAAATTAGTCTTAATGTATGTGTTTTGAATATATGTACTTTAATAAAAAAAATCATTAAAAATTGTGTTTTTCTTGTTTTGGCCAGTAATGGATTGTGTATTTCTGTCATACTAAAAGGAAACATTTTTTAATAAATAACGTCGAAAAGATCAGTCAAATGATTACTTTTATAAATTTAGTTTTGCCTAACTAGAAATATTCGTATCTCACACTGAGAAAATAGATAATTCTCAACTCAAAACAAATTTAGACAGTGTTTAGACAGTGTTTCGAAAAATTCTCTGTTTTCGTTATCAAAATTTTTATTTTTAAATTGACTTAAAAAGCACAGATAGCATAATACTTTTCCTTTCTCTATAGGCGTAGTATTATGAAATTTGTTTATTCCGAAATATGTAAAATTATTATGAAATATCTAAAAATGGATAAGTTATAGTTTGCGACGTTTTTTATGAGACTACGAGTATGATACTCGTCGCAGGGATGGGCGGGTAGACAATGTCGACGTAGACAATGCAATTGTCTACGCGTAGACAATGATCTAGATGAAGACTTAATTTGGAAGAGTCGACAATGTAGACAATGTCGACAATGTCAACAATTAAGAAACTCTCAAAACTAGAAAAAGGTGTGGTAGGTATGTACCTCAAAAAAAGAATTTCGTAAGGCTGTAACTCGTGATTCTTGCAAAAAAAGAAAAATTGAAAATTTGGAATTTGGAAAAGTACCTACCTATCACAACCATCTATAAAAAAAATGTATGAACCGAGTACAAAAGATCAAACAATATCTGCCGAGAATTCACGAAAAAAAAAGTGTGTCTCGCTTGATGCTCCTCGATAGTTTTAGGTCAGGTCAGATTGACCAACTTTTTTTTTTCTATAAAATCTCTAAATAAAGATATGTCGCATATATTCTTTAATGAAAATTTTATCATTTTTAAAGTCAGCAACAATTTGGAATATCTGATTAAGTTTTAAGAACACTTTGTGTAGATATTTTAGTTTAGTTAGAACACGTTAATTTTATTTTTTCTAAAGGTGTTAGAGTTACAGAAATTAATAGAAAAAAATTTTATTAAATATTTCTACTAATTTATAATATAGGTACCCTTTCAAAATAATTTTTGTTTCAATCCTAGATCATATTATGTAAATATATAAGATCTAAGATTTTAATACAGATCATATAGAGCTGAGCTTTTCAATAAACGATAAATGGTAACATATTTCTGTAAATATTTGCAGAGGCACAAGATAATGTTTTTTATTGCATTTTCTCAAACTAAATATTATGTGTATTTATTGGTATATGTACCTCTATACATATATGAGTATTATATATATTCCCTAGTTTTCACTTAATGAGGTCACGAATGGAGACTAAAATTTTAAAATTAAATAAACTGTTTTTTACTGACTGTCTTAATTTATATATTTATATAATTTTTTTTATAATAATTTTTGTTTTAAAAAATATAAAAATATATATATTAAGTATACAAAAATGAAAGTTTTCACTTTCTTAATCTTAACCGACCAAAATTATAATTTGCTTTACGTCCGCTCATTTTATGTTTTTGTAAAAACAGCCAAACAGAAAAAGTTGAGTGATGAATTGAGTACAGCACAAAATAGATCATACGTAAATGTAACGCAAATATAATATAGGTTAGATTAAACTGAAATTAGAGCGCAAAATCCGCTTTGTCTACATTGTCTACATAGTCTACGTTGTTTACATAGTCTACGCGAAGTCTACACGTAGACGTCGACAAATAAAGTCGACGCGTAAACGCCTATCCCTGCGAGTATCTAATAAATAGTATACCAAAATATAATTTTTAGTTTTTATTGCGTGAACACTGACAGATTCAGTAAGATAGTGAACTCTAGTTTTGGTTAATCTTCAATATGGTCAGAATATATTTCACAATGTAATTCGATTGGTAGGGATGATGTTGACAACAACAACATTATTTTTCTGTTATCAGCTTGAAATTCTTTTCTGCCCACTCGAAAATTGATAAAATATGTGTGTTCTTTAATTAAATAACAATTATTTATATTTCTAGCAATACACAAATGAATATAAACTAGTCGCAAAAATTAAAGGATAATAAATATCCTTAATTTTTAGGCGATTTTCAAAAGGCTGCAACTTGGCGAAAAATAGTCGTATAGCAATAGGGAAAAGGCAAATTGAAGATTGAAGTTTCTAGTTTCAGGATCCGAAAGCTAAAAATTTTTATCGTTGATTAGAAGAATTCATAAGAAATCCAGCAGAAAAATTTTTTCAAAATTTCTGCTACCTGTGAAACGACCTCCGCCTTCAATATTTTTTTTTTTTGGCAATGCCACTTATCAACAGAAAACCCAAGCAGGGATCAATTTTTAATAAAAAAAATTTTTCAATGCAAGAAACTTGATTCAGAAAATAATACAAATTTGCGTATTTTAGGATTGTCGCTAAACGTGAGGTAACTTTACAAATAATCAACAGACTAAGGATATATTCGTTATTTTTAACTTCAAAGTATCCCAAATAAACCTTCATGGTGATCCGAATAATTGAAATTGTCACTGTGGCTAAAAATCAATTAAAGGATAAATTTTTTATTCATTTTTTTAGACTGAAAATGTTTTTTCGCAATAACCCATATTTTTTTCATAAAAAATGTTAAATATCAAAAAGGAATGAAATAAATTTTTTCAAAAAATTTTTTTTTCAATAACGTTTTTAATAGGTGTACAAAAATGATCTTCGGGTGAGTTTTGAAATAACTGTTTTTTTTTTCTAATTAAAGTTTGTGGAAACGATTTGTGCGATAGATAACTAAGTATTCAAGATTTGCGGAAGAAAATACAGCGATTAATTGTAGTGTATAGGTACTTACAACTTTTTGGAATTAATTTTTAAAATTGAAAATCATGATCAAAAAAAGGGACAATCATTTTTTATTTGATTGTGAATACTGCAAAAAAAAGTTTGAAAAGAAATTCGTTTCTTGCATCGAAAAAAATGTTTATTTTATCAAAAAACGATAAGAATGTCTTATAGATAGGTCTGTCAGAGAGAGCCGCAATTCGATGGCGTGCCAAGCAGGCCAACCGAGCCGCTGCCTCAGAATGCTTTTCACGTTCATATTACGTTAGTATACTGTTATATTTGTTATGGTTGTAGCGTAATTAATTCCTATCTATTGGTATTTATTGGTGGTGATGTATTGTGGACAATTTAATTTGTTGCGTTTTAATAAATAATGCCTACGCCTATGTCCCGCGGCTCAGTTCTGACTACCTACTACCCTACTTATAGATAATATTTTGAAATGTTCAAAACCCTGCTTACATTTTTTGTACGATTTTTTTGCTTTGAACGATGACAAATCATCGTACAAAGCTATTGAACAACTCAAAGGGAATAAATCAAACTAAAAGAGTGGGATTGCCAAAGAAACTATTGTGAAGTCCGTCGACCTTTTCAAAGGAAGCTAGAATTTTGAAAAGAATTTTTCTCTTGCTTTTCTATGATTTCTTAAAGGTGGTCAACCATAAAAATTTTTGACTTTCAGATCGTGATCAAGCTTCAGTTTGCTTTTTTTATTGCTCTACGACCACCAAGTTACAGCCTTTTGAAAATTACCTAAAAATGTTGGACTTTTTTTTTATTCTTTAATTTTTGTGACTAGTGTAGGTTGTAGGTATTTCAAAATATAGTTGTTAGTTTTTAATTTATCTTACCAATGTTAGCTTTAGTAAGTTTCTTTGTAGCAGGCACGTATCTATGAATGCTTTCTCCTTTAATGTCAACAAAATAGAGGCTTTGAGTGTCTCCATCCCAATGAGGACCTTCGCCTAATTGGAAATTTTCTGCGATTCTTTCAATGTGAGGAGCCATTTTCTCTAAGTAACAAAAGGAATTTTATTTAACCGGTATTTAACCGGTACCGAAGTACCGTTTTTATACCCTCTACGTTTGTTTTTGCAAAAACTGTCAAATTATTTAAATTTTCTTGGATGTTATATTTGTGTAGGAAATTTTAAATCCAATTCAAAATTAAAAGAGTAGAAATATAAACAGTTGCTAGAAAAATATTTACATACTTACTTTGTTGAGTGAAAATATATAACTGTGATAATGTCCTTCTTGACCTTTATAATATTAGTTAGATATCTACGATAAGAATTGAGAATCTCAGGACCGTAATAGATTCTAAATTTCCTACACTTTTCTTATTAAATGCCCCGAAAGAATTTCTGACTACGACAGTACTTTGATTCAAGAATCGACATAGTACAGGTTCAAAAAATCATACCAAAATGGGAAAATATATGATCAACTTCTTGAAAACATTCTAGTTGTGTGAACAATTTTTTGACATTTTCTTATAAATACTTCACAGATACTACTCAAAAGGCGTCGTAAAAAAAATTAATAATATAATAACAATAATAATAATAATAACAATAATATTTCTACCCCTCATTCCAATCGCAAGGATTAGCGGAAGAAGGGGCGGCATTATTACTCAGCAGCACGCACAATCACCATTCAGTGCAGGAATGAAACTTGGAAACCTCATTAATTAGGGGGGTGGTCAAACGCTGACGGGTATCAATCTTTCACGTTGGCCCAAGCCAACGTTTTTCCACCCTACCGTACCCGCAGAGAGAGTGCCTAATTCCTCTCTACGAATATAACTGATCTACGTTCTTACAACTGCGGAGATCGAACCCGCGAAAGCGGCATTCATCTATTCAAGTATTGACTCCTCGAACCGTTCGACCACCGGCCGATCCATATCCAATAAAATATTAATCGAGCGGCAAAATATTAATCCTATTAACTCGAAAAAAAGGAAATTTTGACGGATTCCTACAATAAATGATGGAGGATTTATTTGAATGTGTAGATAGCAGGTTGTTCAAATACTCGTATTTTGGTATGATATAAAGTTATCAACGAGATAAAAAGTTATAAAATGGTTTCTTATAGCGCAATACTGTGCACTTGTTTTAATTCCGTCATATCAGTTCCAAAAATATTTATATTTAAGTGCATATAAGTATCTGCAAATATGAACTAGAGAGGGGTAAAACAGAATTTTCCTTGCATTACATCTCTCATTTTCATTTTAGATATTTAGAAGAAAGCTGAAAATATCTTTTGCGTTTTATAAATCATTTCTATTCTAGACTGGCAATTACTACTTTTTTTTTCAATAACATGTGTTTTAATCACAATCTTTTTCAATGCTTCTTTTCTTCTTTTATAAAATTTTCTGTTTTAAACCCAAATTCATAGTATCAAGAAAGTAAACTAAACAATTTACACAGACTTTATCTAAACCTAGTTTTCCTAGTTTTTTTTTAATCACATCGTATATAAAATTTTCTGTTTGTCGCGGTTTAGGTAATACATTTTGCATATCACCATATAAGTATCTACTAAATACTTATATTGTATACCTATCCAGGGGTCGGCAAGTAATTTTAGGTGTGGTCCGGATACTTTTGAAAATTTTTAACGAGGTCCAGAAAAAAATTCACATTTCTTATTTTTTATTTTAATTTGGACTCAAATTTAATCTGCTTACTAACCATTAAGAACTCAAAACACTCACACAATTGTAAATACTAGAAAAAACGATAAGATTGGCACTTAAACGTAAAAAACATTTTTTAAATAATTTATTTGAGTAATTTATACTTTAAAAAAATTTTGGCGGTCCAGTATTTTACCTTCCGCGGTCCGGACCTGGACCGCGGTCCGCCAGTTACCGACCCTTGACCTATACATATGTCGATAATATATTGAAAGTCATTGCTGAATAACCTCATCATTTATCTGCTACTTATTATTATAAAAATAATTTGCACTTTTCGTTTTGTCATATGAATTAGGTTAGTTTCCTGTCGACTATGTCTTGATGATCTATCGCAGTTCACTCAGGATTATCAAAATCCTCGTAAAATTGGAAGCAAGCAGGTTAGTTATCTCTTCGCTAGCCACGCCGTTGATTTCTAATTGTAGGTAATACAGTTTGACAATACAGCATTTTATCAAACATTTTCGTGGCCGCGATCTGTGTTCAATGTCATATTTTTCTCGATCATCTGTCACTTTAGAGTTTAGATATTCCTTTGTATCATTATATGTGGTATAGTTTTACCATGTAGTCTAGTTATATCTAAAGAAGGTATCAGCGGAGGTTACATAAATCATGTACCTAATAAATGTCTTCAATTATAAATATTTTTTTATTTTCTTTATACAGGGTGATCCAAAAAGAACCACCCCGAGAGCTTTTCACGTTTGAGTTATATTAAAAAAGTTTTAGACAATGTTGTGGAATATCACGAAACCAATATGTTGATGGCCTTGGATTTGATTTCGAACTTAAGTTTCAAGGTCACACTAAGGCCAACTTAGACAAAGCGCCAATTTTACGTCCAAGTATAAGTAGCAAAATTATTCCAGTATGTCCTTGTAGGTTATTTGGAGGGAAAATTAATTTTTCTTCAATTAAAATGTTTAAAGTAAAATTTGTAGGATTTTCAATGATATATTAAATGGATTTGATCTAAAACTGATTAGATATCAGCCTTCAAAATGACCTTTCATCAAATTTTAATTATTAACCCAACAATATGTTAAATTTCAAAATTTTCAGTTTGACTTTCAAATGACCTGGAGAAATTATTTGATTATAGATTCTGACATAAAATTTGGCGCTCATTCAAAATCCTACAAATTTTGTTTCAAACATTTTCTTCCACAATTGGATCTTGTCGAGTTATTCATAGAATAATGAGTTTGACTTCTAAATAACCTTCAAGGACATACTGGAAATTATTTTCGTTCCATATTCGGATATTCTTGGCGCGCTCTATCGACTGTATAAAAGGTCGAGTTGATCTTGATTTGATCTTGAAACTTGAGTTTAGGTCAGATCCACCTGCTGCTTTCTTTACATTCTACAATTTATATCTGAAACTTTTTTTTGAGTCTCTTTGGGACACCCTGCATACTTGTAGATACATTACATTGTCAGATTAATGTCCATGATTATTTGTGTTTGAAACCTTTCAGGTTGAAGTTTCCATCTTATCGTCATTGAAGGCGCCGTTGTCATGTTTCGGCCAACTGTTAACTAGGAGATTGCCACGTCTTAGTAGGTTAGCCTATGGGCTAACTCCTTTAGCTCCCTATTAAAGCTAATGTTCTTGTTAGATGTACCGCAATCTGTATCCCCACTTGGCAAGTTCCTCTACATGACAAGTACATCATATTCTGCCGTTTTCTCATTGTCTAAATGCAAATGACACTGAGCCTCTTTGACCAAAATCAACTTTTGTAAGCGAGGTGATATCTTAATCGGCAGTGTCCAATATTTTTACTAAATGAAGTTCGTAGGTGTAACGTGTTCAACTCCAACAGGTTTAATTTTCTATGGACTTGTTAGAAACAACTTCGACTGAACTACTCTTATCAATTCTTGTTAGTTTTCAAATGTTATTGTTTTTGCCCTAGTCAGGAATCAATACCAAGAGTTACCAGTGTCACTAACTTCATTAGATAATAAAATGTTTTATAATAATTAAAACCTTAGTTACTCTTAAAATTGAAGAAAACATCTTATCTATCCTAGATATTAACCAATCAACTAACATGAAATTTTTGATAATAGGGACATTATTTTTTTATTTTTTAATTTATCAACTGATAATAGTTTAAAAAACATAATAATTTAATAAAAGAAACATCTAAAGGGCAAAACTTTCACCACGAACACCTCTTGATCCCAATCCAGTAATCTTGTAGACAGCACCATTTTCCGGAACAGATAATTTTTCTGTATTTCCAAATTCTAGACGGCCAGTGGTAACATAGAGTTCATCCAAATTTTTTCCACCAAAAGCGACTGATGTTGTCTATATAAAATAAAGCAATTAACATTATAATATGAATAGGAAAAAAATTTAAAACTGTTGTTTGTTGCGCGAGCCTTAATCATTTTTATTAACGAGATTACCTGTTTGGCTGGTAATGAAAGGGTATATAGAAGTGTTTCCGGTTTTCGTGGATCAACTTTGATGACTTTACCTGCGTTGCATATTGCTACCCATAAATTGCCATCGGAGTCAATAGTCATGCCGTCGAGAAGTCCAGGAATATCATGTCTTGATAATGTGAACACGGGACGACGATTTGCTAGAAAGGGTCAAAATAAAATGTTATGTCTTGGATAGATGATGATGACGAACTCGAGAATTATTCGTACGACATACACGAACTCGAAACGAATTGTTGGGAAAACTACTGCTACATATAACTTGACAGAAAACTGCCTTATGTATAATTTTTGACACTGTTACTCACTTTATTATGCCAAACTTACTAATAGTCCCTTGTTCAATATCGAAATCAAATTCGTCTATAGTGCCTTTATGAGAGTATATATAGAACATTTTTTTTAGCGCCGGGTTAAAATCTAAGCCGTTAGACATGGTAATTTTATCTGCTACTTTTGTGATCTTGTCCTTCTCAATGGTATAGAGGGAGCCTCTTTCTTCCTCTACCGTCCCATCTTCACTCCACTTTCCAACCGTTCCTGAAAATTGGAATTAGAACATTTGGCAATTACACAAAAGTTCCCTAAATAGATTGAACCATCCTAAATAAATTGAACCACAAGTTTTTTTTTTTCTTAATCTGATCTGAAAGTAATTTTGTGTATTCTCTGCATGGAAATTGTAGGTGGACCGTACATGTTCACTTGCGCGCGCGCAGTTGGAATGTTTTATAGTAGTCCAGGCGATTTAGGTTTATTTTTCAAAAATCGAGCCTAACTCAAATTTTATGGGCTTAAAATTAAGTAAAAAATACACAGAATAAAAGCCTAAATTTCTATATTTGTAGAGGCCGAGCATAATATTGTTTATAACAAGAAAAAAAAAATTGCTTTTTTTTCAGTTTTTCGCTTATATTTCCGAAAATAAGCCTCTAATCGACATGAGGTATACTTATCGATTTTGTTCCTGAGGAAATTTGCCTCAAGGGTAGGCTTTTGCGATAGCTCGAATTTTTTTTTTACGTTGCAAAATTAGTGGTGAAGAAAAAAATGTGCAAAATTTTCAGCATTAAATAAAAAGAAGAATTTTTACTGAAACTGGATGACAGCAAAATACAATTGTTGGGGTGTTCAACAAATACCCACAATCAAGACCGTGATTTGAATGTGGCAAAATGGCAAAATTCATTGAAGTCTAAAATATATTATACATTAAATATTTATTTTACTTTTAATGTTCTTATAAAAATTAAAAAAAAACAACTTTCGCTAGCAATACAATTCATTGAACAAAATATGGTAGAATTGAACGTAACTGTTCTTTTAAATACTATAAAATGCAGCACATATATGTAATGTTGATATTATAACATTCAATAATATTCTAGACACAATTTACGCAATAACTGTAACAGTTAATTTTAAGACAATATTTTATACGTCGACCTCTTCTGAGCGCGGTAAATAGAATACTGATAATTTTTTGCAAAGAAATAATTGACTTTTGTTTTTAAATACGTAAAAATACATTCTTTCTTTTCAAAATATTGAAAGCATAATGAAATTACAAAAGAAAACGTGCAAAGTCAATAAAAATGTATTTTTCGGGGTCTGGCGTTGACTTTCACAGACTTTTGCTTACACCATTCGCAAGAGCGGAAAAAAATAAGTTGATTGTAAAGAAAAAGCATCCCGGTAGCTGCTTTCTATGTGTCACAATCCATTTGTTAAGTAAGAATTTTGAGAAGCCGAACGCAGCATGGGCACTATGACGTCACAGCGCTCCCCTCTCTTGGCTAGCGCTCAGCTGCGTGGGCCGCGGCACGGATCACTCTGTCTTTAACCCACGTTTACTTGGTCATTTCTTGTTCGAATTCATTAAAAAAAAATTCAGCGTATAAAGGAAGTCTTTACAACGAACCTAAGTTTATTACAAAATATTAAATAGAACAACCAGAATACCGTTTTTAGGAAAAAAAATATCTCGGCGTCTATTGGTCGAATCGAGATGTTTTTTTTAAATTCATGTTTTTTTAAGCACTATTTGATATAATTGGTTTGAAATCTGTATATTAAAAAACCGCCGAGATAAGGACCCTAGTTACCGTTTTATATGTTTTTTGTTAATAACTTTTTTATTTTGCAACACAAAAATCTGAAATTTACAGACTCGAGACAATGTAATTACCTCTTCACCAAATTTCAATAACTTGACTTGGGCAGAAGATATACCCGCTCGCATTTACGACTTTATAATTTTGCATTTTGAAATTGGGGGTCCGCATTGCGGGTATTTGTTGAGCACCGCAACAGTTATCTTTTTTTGTAGTTCCATCCAATTTCAGTCAAAATCGTTCTTTTTATTTAATGCTGAAATTTTTGCATATTTTTTTCTTCACCGCTAATTTTGCAATGTAAAAAAAAATGCGAGCTTTCGCAAAAGTCTACCTTCAGAAACAAAATCGATAAGTATACCTCAAGTCGATTAGAGGCTTATTTTCGGAGATATAAGCGAAAAACTGAAAAAAGAGCAATTATTTTTATTTCTTTTGTTATAAACAATATGACGCTCAACCTCTACAAATACACAAATTTAGGTTTTTATTCTGGATATTTTTTACTTAATTTTAAGCCCATAAAATTCGAGTTAGGCCTGATTTTTGAAACAGGCATGTTTCATCCAATTCACTCGGATTATAGTTACAAACGCCTATTTCCATGCTTATCCTATAGGTATGTACAAGTTATACAACAAGAAAGATAACTAACGCTGCGTAGTTTCATTTTTCTATTTGCCAGTTTCCAACCCAGGCGTTTCCTTTTATGTCATATGCGTGCAAGTGGGAAAAATGGGTTATTAATCTCATACTTAGTTATTTCGGTGTTTTTTAGCAATGGAATTGTGTGCGAGTTTAGTGGCCAGTCTGTTAATAATCAGGACGAGCTAATTTAACAGATCAAGAAGGCTGTATAATAAACAATGTTCAATTCGAGCGGCGCGAAATGCGAATATGTGGGTGAGTAAGACATTGTGCGCGATTGTTTAACAAGCATCCATCAGAAGTATTCAACCTGGGTTAAAAAATAGTGGAAATGTAAAAAATAAAAAATGATACGCTACTGGAATCGTGTTCCCTCCACGCCTTACTTGTCGCACGATTCCACATGTTGAGAATGAACCGAAGATCTACAATTTGAAACTCTTATAGTTAGTTATTTGAACTGTTTCATCTACCACATAAACTGCTAAAGTATTTATGTTTGTAGCAAAAACAGCAGGTATATTTTGATGTTTCAGTTAAATTGATATAGACGTACTTTATTTTGTTTTTATTCCATTCCATTCCATAACTTGGAAATGTCAGGGGGAAGGTTTATATGCGATAGCAGTAGAGCACTTTCTTAGACTGAATTTTAAGGAGATACTTAATAATATTAATACTATTATTATATTAATATAAGATACGGAAAATAAATATGAATATAAATACTATTAGATACAGAAAACCTTTATACTTACCTATCCACAATCTACCTTTAGAGTCACATTTGCCATCATTAAAATTCGTACCCAAATCACTTTCGATTTTTAATTTTTTCAGTACAGACACCTTGTCACTTTTTCCGTCCCAGATTATGATAAGCAATTCTCTTTCTCGGCCTATTAAAAATGTATCTTTCTCTCCCTTAACAGGAATAATTATAGACACCATAGCACCTCAAAAAAGACATAAAATCATTGTATTTCTGTACAAGTACCTATTCTACTTGAATTTTAGTTTGACTTACCAACATTAGCTTTCGTAACTTTCTTTGTATCAGGTACGTATCTGCAAATACTCTTGTCCATAACGTCGACAAAATAAAGGTTTTGAGTTTCTTCATCCCAATGAGGACCTTCCCCGAAAACGCAGTTTTCTACTACTCTCTCGATATGTGGCACCATTTTATCCTTTACATCTGTTTTAGGAGAATTATACATAGATACGTATAAGAAAATATAAATTAGAGATAAAATTCAGGTAATAGTAAAATACCTGTGTTCACTTTGTAAATGCCTATAGCAATGACTCTTCAATAACTGCTGATATAAACATTATAGAAAGTAGATAACAAATTCAAGTTTAATTTATGTTGGAGTTCGATTCGACGCAATAATAAAACATACAACCTATACATACTTAGCCTAATATACCTATGAGGAGATAAGTAAATATCAGTCTTATATTGTAATAAACTGGATGTTGCATAAATAGGCTATATACAATATACAAAAAAAAGAACAACTTTTATGTCATTTTTTTATACTACTAATATAATAAATAGGTCATGCTTTCCAAAAGTTTCAGATGTGCATTAACTAACTGCATTTACCAGACTTAAATTAAATTTTTGCCCAGAAGTATTCATTATTTAGCAGTATTGATATGCGCATCTCACAGACAAGACGAGTTGGGCAAATTTGTACAAAGTATTTTGGTTTTAAGTTGTGTACATATTTTAAAGACACTTTGTATCTACAGGGTGGACCAAATACTTTCTTTTTTCTTTTGGTGATTTTCCTGTAATGTCAAATATTATTATTTGAGAAAATGTTTTTTCTTTGTAAATTGGATTTATATTCAATTTTTGGCATATCGAATCCAGTGACGTAGGTCATATTCTTCTACAACAGTTTTTTAGTTATAACTTATTTTATTTTATATGTATCACCGTGTTTTTTCCATTTTTTGGGATATGTGTAAAATTTCGTTTAAAAATGATGTTACCTAAAAAATAAATTTCTTTGTAATTACATTGTTTCTTCAAACAATTAAGTGTATTTTCTGACATATAGATGAAAAAATGCATGATATGCTGAACTGGAGCATAGCCAACCGAATTTTTAACTAATTCCTCTCGAAAAAAATTGTTTGTATAAATATCGTATATGACACATAGTTTGAATTGAAATTATATAGATTTTAAAAAATTGAATAAATACATAGTACATAGTGTTACATTAAAAACAAATACTCGTATATAAGTATAGGTTATACCGAACTGAAAAACCGCATTTTGTTGAAAAAATATCGCGTAAATCAGTGAAAAAAAGTAAAAAAATTTCCAAAATGAAAAATACACTAGATCTTTCAAAGAAATTAAAACATTCAAGAATTCATCAAGTTAGGTTTACCCTGTACAATAAAACATTATTCATCCAATTTGTCTGAAGTTACGTCTTTGTGGCATAGTTGTAGTTTCCCCTTTATTTATTTGGGTATTTTGACACCTGTGAAAAAAATTAAAAAATTAACGAATTAAATTCTTGCGCCAAAAGGATCAGTCAAGGGTTATTTTTATGGAACTAGTTTTGCCTAACCAAGTATCTTACACTGAAACAAGCAAAAAATAAAAAAATACAAAATATACATCACTATATATCGCGCAATTCAATATGTTATTGACGTTTCGAAAATCAATGTTTTAGTTAACACTACTTAGAATGACGCTTTGTTTATATCTGTTTTAACAATTTAAATCAATTTGTTTTAGTCTGTTTCCATAGTTAGAGATATCATATGATGCTTTGTAGCCAACAAGGATCCAAGGTCAGATAATAATTTGAAACTAATCTTTCACCGTTCACAAAATCAACCACATCAACTTGACAAAGGATATAAATTCTTAATAACATTCCGTTTGAATAAATACATATTGAAAATCAGTTTCTATTTATAGAAAATGGGGAATATACTAGAAATCTAACCGTATGTTCCAAGAAAATTTTAAAGAAATCATGAATTCACAATAATTTACACATTTTACAAATTATTGTGAAATTAGTCCAGCTGACAGAAAATATAGGTACATATTAAGTCAGCCTAAGGATACAGTTTTATACAGGATGTCCTAAATTACAAATGCCAAACTTTATATGGTGATAGAATACTTCGAAATATAACAAGCATATCACATATAGAACGCATTACTTTCATTTTCAGTTACAAGCTGTGGAATACTCAAGAGAAAAGTATTTCACACATATGTTTGGAAAGAATTCGCTAGGGAAAGAAAAAGAAGGAAAAGTTTTATCACATACGGCGAGGTAATTAATATAAATTTACATTTTATATATTTTTATACTACAAAGAAACAAGATTAAAAGGGTCATTAATACAGAAAAATAATAAGTGCAATGTACGTACTTACTGCAACGATAATATTATAGCGAGTGTGCATATTATTTAATTATACAATATAATTGAAATTGACAGTTTAAAAAACATAATTTAATTTTCAATTGGCAGAAAGATTTTTTGCAAATAGAACAATTTTGTTATAATGACTTACCATAATGAAATGATGAAAACTTTTTTCAAATCATTCCCGTTGGCTCCACTAATGGCTTTGCCTCTGTTTACAATAAGTGACGGTGCATGCCTTTCTGAAAATTTTTGTATGTAAAGATGTTCAGCTAACTTCAATTTTCGTCAGTTAGCGCCATATCCTTTAATTCATTGTTTATTACTGTACTGCCATTTTGGTATGCTTATTCGCACTTATCAATACACACACCACAGTGACACCGTCTTTTCACAAAAAGAAAACAATTAAAACAAGAATCTAGAAAAATAAATGGACTTTCACTATAAGTGATATTCGTTTCTGCAATGGAGACTAAAGTAGAACTGATATGACTATTGAACTAGCAATTTCTCTGCTCACAATTTTTTTTTCATTTTAGTACAAAAAATTAGAACAAAGAAGGGGACCACACGCCATTTACGGCCACAAATATTTAGCCCTTTCTATTTAGTATGTGTAGTATAACTGTGGGATGATTCCAGATATTGTCAATAACAATTCTGGTTAGTATTTTTATAGCATTTCTTTTCAGCAGTGGTTAATTTTCTTAAATCGCTATTAAAAATCTACAAAATATTTATTTCCTGGTTATTTTTTTTCACCATGCGAAACCTAAATTTTATCCAGAAAAATTAAATGTTGTGAATGGGAATCAAAATATTATTTATTAGTAAAGATGAAGTAGAAGATTCTTCACGTTGCAACATTGATAAACGTTTGTTTACCTACTCAACAATGAGATCACGGTCTTCGATTAACCTTAAGGTCTACTTATAGACAATATTCAGATATCCATGATGAATGTGTAATATTGTAATTAAATTTATTGGAGATAAGTCATATTTAAATTAAAAGGCAGTATTGAAATAACGATTTTAATTAAATAGTGCGACCTGCGGTTAATTGAATTTGTCGAAAATTGCTATAAAAGTCAGAGGACAGGCGACCAGTTTTAGATGGTATTTTACGTTTTGAAGAAGATGGCACCTGTTATTGAAGTACTGACCGAAAGGGCTATTCTTGGGGAAGGCCCACATTGGGATGAGGCGATGCAGAGTTTGTACTATGTGGATATCTTTGGACAAACTATCAATAAGTTTGTGCCTTCTACGAGTACGCATACGAAGGCGAGAATAGGCAAGTTTTTCATTCAGAATTTTTTAATCTTTCGGACATTTAAAATATTTATTAAATTTAACCATTCTAAAATTTGCCTTTACCAAGAAAATTATTAATACAGACATGTGTTTGGTAAATATGACTGGCATTTGAAATATTGTGTATGTAAATTTATGAGCAAATGTACCTAATTATAATATTCTTGCTGGTTCTTAAATATTTAAAAATGTTACTGTTTTATTGACTTCATATTATAAAAAAATTGTAGTAGATACAAAAATTTATTTAAATATTGAGAAGTATCAATAAGAGATGCTGTCAGGAATTACTTTGCAAAAAGACACAGATAGTTTATTAGAACCCGCTTATTTTAGATCCAGGAAATTTTTTATCGCAATCTTATTCTTTTATTGAATTATGAATGTATTATGTATAGAGGTACTCTGAAATCTGAAATCTTGCTTCGATACAGAAATGGACTGTTTTCTTAATACTTTTTCCTCGGCTTTCAATTTTAGAAAACTTAATTTTTTTTAATTTAATGTTATGAATACGTTTTTAATCCAATAACGGAACTAGAAAATTTAGTCCTAGGAGACATCAGTCATTTGTTAAGTACATTTCCACCATAATTAAGTCAACACCATCTGATATGAAATGAGAATATAAACTATCGAAACTTCATATTTTCGACATTATTGAAAGTCCTAGCAAAAATGTTTAATTTGTAACTGTAGCAATACACAAAAAATTTACTGGAAATGCTGATAGGTACTTCAAAAGTTTGTTTGTGAGATTGTGAGGCTATAATTGACTAATATTTTCCAAACCACAGTATTAAATAGGTGCCTACATTACACTGAAAAATTTTATTATCTCATAGAGTTCAGAGCATATTTCTCGAGTCAAAAATAAGCTCTAGTAATTTGTTTAAGTCTAATCACAACACTCATCTACATTAATTAATTATAAAATAAATACAAGTATTTATCTGAATATCAAAGGAATTAAATGTAAATATTGAAATCAAAGTCTAAATTTTCTAGCACTTTCTTAAAATAAATAGAATGTCGATAACTTGAAATATTTAAGTACGTTATTCTGAATAGCGATAACTACGTTGATAAAAAGGTCAGAGTACTAATATTTCATAGAAACTAAAAAAATTGTGATTTTAAGGATCCTAAAATTATACTGTTTGCTATGTGATCGATTATCGACAACTGTTTTTCGTAAAAAAAAGTTTTTGATAGGATAAGTGTTTGTCGATAGGCCATGAGGATAATAGGAGAAATGGATTATTTGTTAAGAAAAATTGAAAATTATATTTAAAAGACGGAGAAAGATGCATTATAAAACAATGGAGCTGTTATAATGAGCGGCTGATTTTGAAATAAATAATTTCAGAAAAGTCTTGCAGTAGTATCATCAAAACAAAAACAACAATTAAAAGAAATAAAATAAATAATAGAAGAAAAATTATAGTTGAAAAATATAAAATATGTACATTAAGTTTTGCAGTGTAATGTATTTAGTGAGTAGTAGAGTTTCATTAGTACAACTTGGATAGGGAAATACTATTTTTTAAATTTTTAATTATTTATTAACCTTTGAGTTGTCTCTTTAAGATACCTAGATAATTTTAGTTAACACCTTTAGAGTATAACTATTTAGTTCTAAATCGAAATTGAAAGTGGACATACAAGGTGATTACATTTTCATATATATCTTTTTGATATGTTATTTTATTCATTTTGCATTTAAAAATTTTGATAGTAGCACTTCTGTACCGTCATCTATACCTAATTATTTTAATAAAAAATAGTTTTTCCTATTAAACTGTTCTTTTAACAATTTACTAGTATCAACAGAGTGTAATTATTTTTTCGTACAACCTTTTTATAACTATGATGTAAAAAAATCTACTATTTTGAGATATTTCTTTCTAAATATGCCAAATTATGACACCAACTGCGTTTTCAAAGGGTTCCACATACATATTCTGTATGTTTGTAGGTACTTAGATTTGGACTAATTTTTGACTAACATACTTTATCTAGAAAAATATGAAAAATTCTTCATTAATAATTCGATCCTCTTAAGTTCATGTCTAATTTGTATTTTTAACTCATAGAAGACAGCAACCAGACAAAAAAATAATAAAATTATTTGGTAGGATAACTTATGAGTATCTTATTCAAAAGATGCGTCATCAAAATATGGAAAATTATATAATCTCAAGGATATAACATAGTTTTAAATATTTAAGAATTTCTTTTCTAATAAATAATTAGATTTTTTGTATATCGGGTCAACGATGATTGGTTCTTTGGCTATTTTATTCACTATTCCTATACTTATTAATTCAGAATAAGTAATAGGTACCTATCAATTATTAATTTGACCAAAATATATTTCGAATAGGTACTTATTTCTTGATAAACATTCAAAAATATCAGCAGTAACTCTTTTTCCTTGCTTTTCTGTTGATTAAACCTTTCTACATATTTAAATATTCTTTGTAGAAGGAGGACCTGTAGCGTTGGTTATACCCGTCGAAGGTACCAATAACAAGTTTTTGGTAGGCCTTGGAAGGAAACTGATAACTGTGACTTGGGACGGAGTAAGTGACAAGGTTTCTAACATAGAAGAACTCTTAGAGGTGGAAAATGAACCGGGCTTCACCAACAATAGATGGAACGATGGCAAAGCTGATCCGACTGGAAGACTTTGGGCAGGTAATTATTTTGAATACGGACAAAATACGGCATTCGTTATGTCATGAAAGGATTGGTCATTCTTGAATTTATTATATTTTGGTATTCATAAGGTACCATGGGTCCAGAGCCCGAAATTGGTAAATTGGAGAAAGAAAAAGGGGCACTCTACACTTTAATTGGAAGAAATCGGGTAAAAACGCACTTAACGAAAGTTAGCATTGCCAATGGTTTAGCTTGGAACGTGAAGTTGAAGAAAATGTACTACATTGATTCTCCTAGAAGAACAGTTGATCAGTATGATTATAATATCGACAAGGGGGAAATTTGTAAGTTATATCATATGAACGATTTCTGGAAATTTATTAAAAGACTGTGATTGGGTTAATTTGGTTATTAAAACATATCTTTCAGGCAACAGAAAACCAATATTCAACTTGGATCATCATGACATTCCCGGTGTTCCCGATGGAATGACTATCGACGCCGATGGTAACCTTTGGGTTGCAGTTTTTGATGGTGGTCGTTTATTGCATATTAACCCTACAACCTCAGAGCTTATTACAACAATTACTTTTCCTGCAAAACAAGTATGCCTACTCTATATATTTTTTATTATAGTTCATATTTAACGAAATTAATTAATATTAACACAAAAAAATTTACATTTTGCAGAACATACAATAATTTAAAGGATACAATAAGTGTTATAATTGACAAATAAACTAATATTTTAAAAATCTCGGAGAATTGAACAAATATCTGAGACAACAATGTAGAAATAATATATCACTGTTTTTAGATCACATCAGCTGCTTTTGGGGGTGCAAATTTGGATGAACTTTACGTAACTAGTGCCCAGTTGGTTGTAAAGGGAGAAAAGCAACCCCACCCAGCTGGTGCCCTTTTTAGACTAACTGGAACCGGTGCTAAAGGCCTTCCAGGAGTGAAAGTAAAATTGTAATACAGAGTTCTAACAAGATGTATTAAATAATTAGTGACAAACAAAAATTGTTTTACTAGCGTTTCACAAAATGTATTCATATTGGAGAGCACAGCTATAAATAAAAATTCTATTCGATAACTTGATAATTTGACAAAATTTAATCATAGCATTACATGAATTGATTGATGCACGACATCTTACTTGGTAGTACATCTTTTTCTTTACTCGTCCAAGTTTTATCATTTTTATAAATATGTTTGTTTAGTGTAACCATTGTTTATACTGGGTGTCCCGAAATTCATGCTACAAAATTTGGTCATAGATTCTTAAGACAAATTTAGGGGATCCGTATTTTTTCTTTTTGCCCCTCTGGCCCTCTCTTTCGGAGTTACAGTCTCTTAAAATCTGCCCCTAAGAAGTCTTTTTTATATCTCAAAACTATATGTTATACGAGAATCACTAAATTTGGAACACAAGGGTTTTATGACATGTGGAATCTCACAGTGCTACACTTTTTGGCGAGAAACTCCCTTAAGACACTTTTTCGTGGCCCCCCTTGTCTTTGGAACCAGAACAATTTGGTCACAATTTTTTTTTTAAATTATTAGTTAGCTAGAAAGCCATTGAATTTAGAAACTTTTTTGTCTCTTGATATTTGTTTCGAAAAACGCAATGTTTTTGAGGAAAATGGCGAATCACGATATGCATTCGATCACCTTTTGACATTTTTCTCGAAAACATTGCGTTTTACGAAAAAAGTATAAAGGGACAAAAAGTTTCTAAATTTAATGGTTTTCTAGTGAACTGATAATTTTTAAGAAATTTAAATATGCGACCAAGTTTTTATTGGCTCCAGACAAGGGGGCCCACGAAAAATTGTCTTAAGGGGGTTCCACGCCAAAAAACGTAGCACCATCAGATTCCACATGCCATAAAACCCCTGTGTACCAAATTTAGTGATTCTCGTACAACAGGGTTCTGAGATATAAAAAAAAGATTATTCTTAGGGGCGGACTTCAGGGGGCTGTAACTCCGAAAGAGGGGGCAAAAATAAAAAATACGGATCCCCTAAATTTGTCTTAAGAATCTGTGACCAAATTTTGTTGGATAAATTTCGGGACACCCTGTATAGTAACTATATAAACAATAGTGTAACCTTCGAGCAGTAGTATATGCTCAAAGGGTGCAACAAACTATTTCGGAAGGAAAACGCCTTTTAGTAGTACTGCTACTTTCAGGTTGTTACTGTCAGTTGTCAGTTGTGAGTTCTTTACAGAGTTAGGTTAGAACCAGTTTTTGTTAGTAATCTACCTTTGATTTTATGATACATAATTATTGATTTTCTTTGGTGATAAAACACGATTTAAAATTTTGGCATTATAAAGATTAAATTGTGGTAAATGACACCTATGCAGTATACAAAATACTGACAGCTGTTGCTCTGTTTTGAGAATATTTTAAGTACAGATTTGTGTTACATTATTAAATGAAAAATGGTACGAAGTGCGATTGCAGATGATCATTTATTAACCTATTTAACCGATATAACCAGGCAAAACATTTGTGTAGGTTTAATTTTGGGGCAGGTAATAATTAGGTTAAATAATATGATAGTGTGCTAATTTAGAAATTTTCAGTCTTGTTTGAGTAAAGATTATGTTATACATTTTGCAAAAACACCTCTTTATCAGTCAGAGGAACAAAAGAAGGAAGGCTTACCGGCCAAACAAATAAAGAACATTTCAGAAGTGAATGAGAAATGGGTGGCCGATCATGCTGGTCATGCTACTAGAATGTTACCCGGTGGAATGTATGTTTTGGGAATATTCGTTGTATCCCCTGAGGACTTACTAAGTCAATTTAATCCTAAAATTAAGGGCATATTAACGACAATCCATAAACAATTAGAAGGCATTTCTTACTTATATGGAAATGAAAACACTGAAAAACTTGTTTTAAATTATTGCATGAAAACTGAAAAATATCTTGCAAAATCTTATGATGTTAATACGTTACGTGTTCAACCGGTGGATTTTAAATTTTTGCCGAAAGCTACCAAATGGATTAATGTGGAATGTAGTTATGTGATCGATCAGATATATTATTTAAAGACAAATGAAGCAGACTGGCCACTACAAAAACATATAAAGGTAAGTAATTAATGTACTTACAAAAAAATAGTATGGCCGTTTCCCATTTTTCAACAGATTTAGGGTGAATTCACCTATTTTCGGGTAGTTAGTGAAATCAGATATTTTGATTTGATATGTATTGGAACTTGTATTACTGAATCTAAATTTAATTCTTTATTAATATTCACCTACTTATATGTTTTGTGAAAAAATTCTGTAAACACACCATGCTAATTAACGATTAGCTTATTCTAGTAATCGGCCAGTGTGATGGCGTTTTTCAGCCATATTTTCCATTACATAATTGGCCACAATGGGATTTTCTTTCGGCGACATTTAATAATTAGTAGAGTTGGGGATTTTCGTCGGCTAGTCATAGACGTGTTCGTTGTAAACAAATGAATAAAGAGGTAGGTGTAAATAAAAATAAATATTTTGGCATACTTTATCTGCAAAAAGTCGTTTTTTACCACTTGGCATGTTTAACATTATTAGAATATTAAAACACATATGGCAAAGCAAACACAAAGCCAATAACTGCCGGTATAACCGGTTTTGTACGTGGCGCCGTAGCGAAAGGTCGACACGATGACTATGATCATCCGACCGAGTCCCGAACTCTAATAATTAGGTAATTTATCTTTATGAAATAAAAATCGTTTAAATGTCGGCGATTATATAAATTTATCATTTATAATAAATTCAGAAAACTAGCAAGAAAGAAAAATGTTAAGGCCATAAATGCAATGTGAAATGAAAAAAATTAAGACGGAGAAATGCCGAGAACTACTTGTCAACAAACCACCAAAAAATTATAAAAATATAAGTAGCCGAAAACTATCTAATTTAAAACCTATTTTTTGGGGCCATACAAATAGGAATTACAAAATGGTTGACAAATACTTGTTTTGTTGGCCAAAAATTGGATAAAGGATTATACTTATTTATTTTTAAGAACAAGTTATAATAAAGAAAACCACATTGACCTAACTTGCAAATATTGGAAAAAGTCAAAACATTTGTAAGTCCTGATCCAAAATGAGATTTTTTAAATTTACTTCTTGTCGAGCTTTTTGTTTTACGGCCACCACTTTTTTAAAATCAAAATGTCACAATGAGTTAGGTACATTTTATTTTAATCTCAATTAAACACCATTTAATCGTAACATCACATAATATATTCCATAAAACATATGTTATTTTATATTCTAAATAGCTTCAACTTACCAACACTTTTTGTAAAAAAATAATCTCCACAAAATCCGTTGTATATCGAAATATTGAATAGTAATATACTAAACTACAAATTATTCAATAGTCCAAGAAGTATTCGAATGAAAATAGTGATGGTTAGCAAATTGCTGGTTTCATGTCACATGTCACTGAATTAATAGCTATTGGTCGATAATCCATAAGGTAGTCATGATCACTGTACTGGTTGAGCACAAACATGACAAACAATAGTTATTTGTATAAACGAATAACTATCATACCGTAATAACCCACAATAATTAATAAATCATCTTTCTTTGTAAAAGTAAATAAGAGATTTCATATTCTGCACATCCACCAAACATTTATTAGTTGAATTATTGAAATAGATTTATTCGATAGTTATGTTTAATATATTACTAATTAAGTCGTCAGTGCCGCGAAAAACAACTACTCCGAGGGCTATTTGCCCCTACCGGCATTGAATTACATTCGCGACACCCAGTACAACAGCTAGTTTCGCCCTCTATAGGCGACGTTCGTGCAATAAAGTACCTGGCAAATTTTAGCAGGTCGCTTCCACCGTAGTAGCCATTTGAATGGCATAGTGGAAGTCAGCGCGATAGATGGAGCCTTTGTGCTTCGCATACTAAATTACTAATTATTCGATATCTGAATCACTAGTGTCTATCACTAGTTAAACGCCATATGTGTCAAATTAACATTTTATGCAACAAATAGATCAATGTCTAATGTTGGCAGAAAATAGGAACACTATTTTTTTAATTTTTAGTTTTCAGGTTTTGCTATTATTGAATTTATTATCCTCTAGTGCAGGGGTCGGCAATTGGCGGACCGCGGTCCAGGTCCGGACCGCGGAAGGTAAAATACTGGACCGCCAAAAATAAAGTATAAATTACTCAAATTAAAATAAAAAATTAGCAAGAATTTTTTTTCTGGACCTCGTTAAAAATTTTCAAAAGTATCCAGACCCCACCTAAAATTACTTGCCGACCCCTGCTGTCATCATTTTTTTAATTTTTAATCATTTTGTGCAAAAAAGATGTGCATACTGATGATCTTGTTGGTTGGAGTTCTACGGTAACAAATGTATAATCGATTCTGGATTTCAATACACATACATTCTAACTTACAATACAATTCGGTAGTAGAGTGAAATTGCATTGATGTTTAGTGATGATGTTTCAATTGACTGGTGTTGGCAACTCTCATCTAATGAAAATGTTAATGTTTATTAGTACAGTGTGTCATCATTCCTCTACTTTAATATTATTTTGAGAAATTCCTATGAAAATTTACTGACTATATTTTGTAAATACAACTTTCTGTACAGAATTTCTCCCTGTATTACATTACTTTTTTTTTTTAATTTTTAAGGGGGTTTTGGAGGACATTGATGAGAATCTCCAAAATTCCATTTTCTTATTTGACGGGGAGTCCAAGGAAGGAGAAGAGAGTTTAGAAAGTATTGGTAAAAAGAAGAAGGCTCCACGCTCTACGTCTAGCAAAAGCCAATCTGATTCACAAGATACAAAGTCGATGAAAGTTTCTATTTTTCAATCTTGTGTAGGTAAAAACTAATTAACTTATTTTTATACGTAACTTGTCATTATTTTTTATTTGCCGACCAAACATAGACAAATTCTAAATTTTTTCTTTTATGAGATCCTTAAAAAATAATGAACTTCATCATTTAGAAAAATTAATTTCACTTTATTATTGTCAATTTGTAAGATATTTTAACGAAATTTCTGTAGAAGGCATCCAAACACTTGTCTATCCGTAACAATGACTCCAGTACAAAATTGAATTTTCCTTTGCAATAATGCATTTCAGTAATATTCAACAGTAAGTATCAACAAATATCTATTAGCAAGAAAAATGGCAAAAAACAAGACTGGCATTCTTACTGATTTCTGTAGAACTGATGGATGGATTTTAAAAAATTGAAAGAAAAAAATTTGTAAAGAGGTAACTTGGCCTAAATCTGTTTTATGTTCATCCAAGGATGCTAGCCTTGACACTTCATTTTCATTGAAACACCCAGTAAATAGTGTTTTTTATTTTATTTGATGAATTTGTGATGACATAATTATAATTTTTTTTTGCTCTTTAGAGTTCAGACCCATCTAAGGGTGATTCACTTGGAGTATTTCAAAGTGCAAGTCAGCTCAGAATCGTTGGCCAGGTAGCTTGTGAGCTGTGGTTGCAACCTAAAATATCAATTAACGATGCGTCCAATGCTGTCAAACAAGATATTATGCGCAGCTTGTCCACTAGGTTGGAAATGCATTGGGATTCTCTGACGGAAGAAGAGAATTCAGAAGGTAAATGTACTGTGATTCTAAGCAGAATCAAGGAGAGACGTAAAAGAATTTTGTACTTTTTAGATATAAACTGTGTTCATGAACCTCCAAGAAGAGTGCTAGTTACACTCCCTCACAGCAAAATAACACTCTCTGATTACCTCTTCCCCGGAGAAGGGGCCCAAGATGCCAAAATATCTTTGGAAGAGTTGCTAGATGTAAAAATTGATGGGAAGTTGAAAATCAAAGATGTGGAAGGTCAAGCAGGTATGACAATTTTAAGTAAAGAAAAGGTTTTTAAATCCATGACCTATTCTGTGAAAATGTATAATAAGTCTTTTTATTTTTATAGATATCTCTGAATACTACAGTAGCGGCTTGGAAAGTGATAGTGACGAAGTTCTTCCAAAGTTGCCCACAGACACAAATAAGTTTATGTACATTGTTGGTTTAGGTGTTGCTTTACTTGTGTTAATTCTTTCGCTTTTGATACACTTTTATAAATAATGTAGTTTTCAGTATATTTGGTTTTAAAGTTTTTATTTTATATAACTGCTTACTGCTTATCTATGGAAATAAACGGTTTATATTTTTGTTTAGATTTTTTTTTAACGTGGTTTCAATATCATAGAAGATATCTCTATCATGTCTAAAAAAAAGGACTAAATCAAGGAATGTGGGAAATGTATGATATTTTCAGAAAACCCGGAGAAATGATATGTTAACCCAGAGCCCGAAGATGTAGCATCAACCCTACATACAATACAGGGTTTACGTCATAGTGAATAAAATGAAAAACCCACTTAATGTTATTTTATACAATCTTCAGGGCACAAAATTTGGTGCCTTTTATCACAACTACAATTTTAAATATTTGGAAGATAACACAGGACCACAAAAAAAAATGAACGAAAGATCTCCTCGGCCAAACCTATCGTATTATATGTTTTTTGGGTCGCTGAAACCGAATCTGTAACTCATTTGGTCGCATCACGTCAGAGTTTTTTTCTAACCTCAAAAAATGGCTGAAAATTGGTAGAATTCAACAAAATCAACCCTGCAACCTGTTGAAACCTTATAACCACATCCTTATGATCCCGTAAAAATACATAACCTCAAAATTGGATGAGCCCAAAACCCAAAATAAACAGCGAATAAACTTACACATAGGGCACAAACTTTCATTTTTGAATAGTAAACCCTTTTAACTTAAAACCCTGAAACCCCATAACCTGAAAACACGACAGGGCCTCAATCTGAAACCTCAAAACACCGAAGCTGAATAACCCTAAAACCCCAAAACTTCAAAACCAGGGCCGGCATTAATAAGGGTGAGGGTAGCTATCACTTCGAGCATCACACATGAGCAGCGAGATACACACTTCGAATAAAGCAGCCACTGGCCGAAACTCATAAACTTAAGCACCCAAACCCAGATACCCTACTGCGTAGGGTCCCTAAACCCAAAATCCCAAACCCACATACCCTGAGCACAACATACCTTGGGCGCAGCAAGATCTACGCTTCCATCACACAGGCCCTTGGCGGGACTCATGCAATCAAGCTTCCAAACCCTCATACCCTAGGTGAAACAAGAGAGTGTTAAGAGTATGCAAGGTTAGGTTTGATACTAAGCTCCATTTGCTTCTTTATCCTCTTTATAACAAACATTGATCTCGCTCCGACCAGAGTATGTGGGTTTGGGAGCTTGGGTGTGAAAGAAAGCTGGCTTTGCTCGCTTATCTGCTGTGTGATGAACGTGTAACGAGAGGCAAGGGGACTCACGAAAATCAAGCACCCCGCAGGAAACAGAGTCCTGCTACGTCCACGTCGTTGTTCCTGGGTACGGCAAAATATAGGCGCCACCAACTTTGGCGCCTTTAAAGTTTCTTGGATTCTAACGAGTATCTGGTTTCAATTACTCGGGGTTGAGGATCTTTCTGCGGCCAGGGTATGTAGGTATGGAAGATTAAGTTTATGAGACTTGCTGTACCCAGAGTATGTGGGTTTAGGATCTTGTGTTTGAGGGTTTGCTGTGCCCAAGGTATGTGGGTTTGGGAGCCCGGGTTTAGAGATCTTATTGCACTCAGGCTTTGTGGGTTTGGGAACTCGGGTTTACAGATTTAGCTTTATCCAGGGTATGTGGGTTTAGTAGCTTAAGTTTATGAGTTTCGGCCAGTGGCTTCTTTGTTCGAAGTGTGTGTCTCGCTACCCATGTGTGACGCTCAAAGAGATCGCCACCCTCACCCTTATTAATGCCGGTCCTGGTTTTGAAGTTTTGGGATTTTAGGGTTATTCAGCTTCGGGGTTATGAGGTTTCAGATTGAGGCCTTGTCGTGTTTTCAGGTTATGGGGTTTCGGGGTTTTAGGTTAAAAGAGTTTACTATGGAAAAATGAAAGTTTGTGCTCTATGTGTAAGTTTATTCGCTGCTTATTTTGNAATATTTGCAGAGGTACAAGATAATGTTTTTTATTGCATTTTCTCAAACTAAATATTATGTGTATTTATTGGTATATGTACCTCTATACAAATATGATGTAACGCAAATATAATATAGGTTAGATTAAACTGAAATTAGAGCGCAAACTCCGTTTTGTCTACATTGTCTACGTAGTCTACGTTGTTTACATAGTCTACGCGAAGTCTACACGTAGACGTCGACAATTAAAGTCGACGCGTAAACGCCCATCCCTGGTAAAATGATAACTCGCAACCGTAAAAATACATAACCTTAAAATTGGATGAGCCCAAAATCCAAAATAAGCAGCGAATAAACACACATAGGGCACAAACCTTCATTTTAGAATAGTAGTACTCTTTTAACCTAAAACCTCGAAACCCCATAACCTGAAAACACGACAGCGCCTCAATCTGAAACCTCAAAACCCCAAAGCTGAATAACCCTAAGACCCCAAAATTTCAAAACCAGGGTCGGCATTAATAAGGGTGAGGGTAGCGATCACTTCGAGAGTCGCACATGAGCAGCGAGATAACACACTTAGAAACTTCGAACAAAGCAGCCACTGGCCGAAATTCATAAACTTAAGCACCCGAACCCAGATACCCTACTGCGTAGGGTCCCTAAACCCAAAATCCCAAACCCACATACCCTGAGCACAACGTACCTTGGGCGCAGCAAGATCTACGCTTCCATCACACAGGCCCTTGGCGGGACTCATGAAATCAAGTTTCCAAGCCCTCATAACCTAGGTGAAACAAGAGAGTGTTAGAGTTTGTAAGGTTAGGTTTGATACTAAGCTCCATTTGCTTCTATATCCTCTTTGTAACAAACATTGACCTCGCTCCGACCAGAGTATGTGGGCTTGGGTGTGAAAGAAAGCTGGTTCAAGCACCCCGGAGGAAACAGAGTCCTGCTGCGTCTACAATGTCTTTGTTCCTGGGTACGGCAAAATGTAGGCACCACCAATTCGTAGATTTTTGTGCCTTTAGTTTCTTGGATTCTAACGAGTATCTGGTTTCAATTACTCAGGTTTGAGGATCTTTCTGCGGCCAGGAAGGAAGGTTTGGAAGATTAGATTTATGAAACTTGCTGTACCCAGAGTATGTGGGTTTAGGATCTTGGGTTTGAGGTTTGCTGTGCTCAAGGTATGTGGGTTTGGGAGCCCCAGTTTAGAGATCTTATTGCACTCAGGCTTGTGGGTTTGGGAGCTTAAGTTTATGAGTTTCGGCCAGTGGCTTCTTTGTTCAAAGTGTGTGTCTCACTACTCATGTGTGATGCTCAAAGAGATCGCCACCCTCATCCTTATTAATGCCAGTCCTGGTTTTGAAGTTTTGGGATTTTAGGGTTATTCATCTTCGGGGTTTTGAGGTTTCAGATTGAGGCCTTGTCATGTTTTCAGGTTACGGAGTTTCGGGGTTTTAGGTTAAAAGAGTTTACTATGCAAAAATGAAGGTTTGTGCCCTATGTGTAAGTTTATTCGCTGCTTATTTTGGGTTTTGGGCTCATCCAACTTTGAGGTTATGTATTTTTACGGTTGCGAGACCCTCTGTCGATTTTTTTTGTGGTCCTGTGTAATTAGATACTTTTGCTTGTACAAATAAGTCATATTGGATATTTGTTCCACTAAAATCATTGATGTTGATGACTTCAGTCCAGATCATTATTTTTTAAAAACGGTGCATTATGTTAAAACTATTATACTCATTTTTACATTTTTTGCATAATTGAAGCTTAATTTACTTCATAAAAATAGAAGATACTTTTTGATACAAGATATGTTTACTACAGATATTACGGGAAAACTGCCATTTAATTGTTGTTCACTATAAGCACCACATCTCGTATAAGCACAGCAAAAAGAATATATAGAGACCAGAGCTGGACAAAATACTTTCAAAATGTATTTAAAATACAAATTACAAAATACTAGTACGAAAGTATTTTAAATATAAAATACTTAGTACCTATGTAAAATAGTATTTTAAGTATGTTGAATATTAAATATGTATATTGAAAATATTCATTAACAGTATTTAAAAGATTTTTGTGAAAATCTGAAACTTAACATTTGATTTAAAAAAATAAAATGTAGGTGGTAAGGCAAGCCCGATTTCAAGATCATCAAAAAGTTAAAAAAAAACTTGATATGAGTCTGGCAACAATCATTTTCATCTGAATTACCGAGATGCAGAATATTTAATTCATTCAACTTTTTATTAGTTTTTCTTAGAATAGCCCACTAATGAAAAAAAATTAATTTTAAATTTTGATGATTGACTTCTGACTTACTAGTGATCATATTGACCTAATAGTCCAATTAAATTGGCCTTTAAATTTCAATTGTGGTTAATTGCCTGAATTGTTTATATAAGTTACCTCCGGTCAAGTTGTGGAGCATAAAATTCTATATAAAAATGGTCTATTGACTTTTTTTGTACTATTAAAACTATTAAAATTAACAGAGTTAGGGAGGCTAGAAGTTAAGGGATGATTTCGGAAATATAAAAAAATCATAACAAGCAGAAAAATGAATGAATTTTATAATTTTTTTTTTCAATAACACTAAAACATTTTTTTTCTATACCATTCGAATGTGTGTGCAACAATTGCGAAAGAAATCTATCTTTGTCATAGGCATATGAGTTGTCCACAATTTCGGTACCATGAGTGCGACAAAGCAAACATGATTTTTTATCTTTGTCATGGCAGTTATAGGAGCTAAATAAAATTTAAAAGGTAAAGGTGAAACGGTAAATAAATTTGTGTCTGTCTGAAAATCAAAGATAAAACAAAATTCTGAAAGCAACTTTTCATTATTTGAAATAGTCAATTGAATAGCATAGAAAAAAAATTGTTTTAGTGTTGTTAAATCATGAAAATTAACGATTAAAAAATTGAAATTGTTATAACTTTTTTTAATAAAAATTAAAAAATATATCTGTTTCTCTTTTAGAGTAAATTGAAAAAAAAATTATAAAATTCATTCATTTTTCTGCTTGTTATTCCTGTTAACTGTTAATTTTAATAGTACAAGAAAAAGTCAATAGGCCATTTTTATGTAGATTTATATTTTACAACTTTTAAAAGATTTTTTTTTCTAGCTCTTGCCCTTTATATACCTCAAATTAACTATATAAAAAATTCAGGCAAGTTGATCAAAATTGCGACTTTAAGACCCATTTAATTGGACTATGATTATAAAAGGTAGTAGACAGAATACCAATAACACAACTCAAATTGCAAAATACCGAGTAGAATGCGCTAAATCCAGGCGCAGGTGCGAATTTTTTTAGCACATGTACCAGTTGCCAGTTGTAACAGGCAAAAAGTATTTGTTTTTGGTAGGTATTTTGGATATTTTAAGTACTTCGAGTATTTTAAATACTCAAAAATTACTTTTAGATTTTAAATATTTTTTTAAAATACAAAATAAAAAATACTTTATTAAAGCATTTGAAATATAAATTACTGTTTTGTATTTAAAATACTATTTGGTAGAATTGAAAATTTTACTTTTTGACTAGCCCATTCCGAAAAATATTAAAAAACTTTTTTTTTAACGAGTACGTTTGAAAAATATTTATTTATTTATTTTACAGTTTAGGGAATATTACACATTTTTAACAGTTTCCACTAATTTGTTAATAAAAGACGGAAATTATCTTAAATTTATCAAATGCATAAAAAACAAAAAAATATAGTTCAACAGAAAATAGAGAACTCAGTACTACAAGATAGATATAGATATATTAAAAATTTCACTTTATTTTTAAAACCAAATCCATAGTATCTACATATTTATTGTTCCACAATCCAATATACTTCTTACGTTTAAGGTACAGAGGTACATTAAAAAACCAGACACCTTTACTATTTAATAAGTGTATTTAAGTTAAGGCAATAATACAGAAGGGTAAAATATAAAAAAGCGAATTCATAAATTTTTAACTAAACTTGCATTTCGAAAAGTCCATCTCAGGATGCTGCTCCATAAACCTAAAACACGTCGATGTTAGTCTACAAATTACAACTAAATTATTTTCTACAAACTTTTTAATCACATCTTGTTTCTTCTGTTCATCGCTGGTGGGTAAACCTAATTCCTTTTGCCGTTGGTCATACATCATTTTTTCAACTAGCCCTCTGGTCTCTCCATCAAGGTCACTTAGTTTGGATGGTTCTGGGTTGATCTTCCTAGTGCTGATTTCAGGATCCGAGTTGACTAGTTTGGACCACCAATTCATTTTATTTACCTGAAAAGAAGACAATTCCATGTACAGGATGTACATGGAAAGATAAATATTAGAAGCACAAAATAAACAAAAAAGATTAACAATTTGATGTTAGTGACATATAAGACTTTAAATGATGAATGTTTGTGTTGCTTACCTTCTCAAAGTTGAACAATAGTGATTTTCCATCTTCGATGACCCATGTAGATTCTTCTAATTTAATTTCATATTGAAAATCATCATCGATTATAGGAGGTTGACCTTTGATTCCACATGTGAGATGTCTCTTTGTTAGATTCACTACCAGATCTCTCTGTTTAACCCTGAAGTTCACGTTCAATGGAATTCGAAGCTGCAAAACAAAGATAAGCTGTTAACTGATTATAATTCAACCACGAAAATGAAGTAGTTAACTAACAAGTTTCCATGATTTCAGGAAAAAATATACTATAGAATATAAATTACACAATAGATAAAATTTAATATTTTTTGTTTTTTTTTCACAACAATAAACAAATACCTATTATTATTAGATACGAGAAATGAAAATATTTTATTTTGATTTCACTACATTTGTCGATATGCGAAAATTATCCATAAATGGCACATAGAAAAAACATCTCTACTTTCAAATACTCTAATCCTATTGTGTTGTCGTATTACAGGCCAATAAATGTCTTACCTACAGTCTCAAAAATACTCCATCATGCATTCTGCATCAAAAATTTAAATATTTTAGCTTTGATGATTCAATGGCAATATTTATAGGTCAGATAATCAAATAATATCTACTTATAACAAAGTAGGTGCTTTGCAAGGAAATGTCTTTGGCCCGTTTTATGATTTTTACTGTTATCTAACAACATTCATCGATATTCTTCACAATTAGATTTTGAATCAATTAATAAAAATATTGATGCACACTTAAACTGAACAGTAATGGTGTCTAAGACATCGATTAATGTTGATTGAAACTAAAACTCAAATGTTTTTTGGAAATCATAAAGATAAGATAGTTAATAATCCCCATTTCGAAATCATTAGTAAAGTTCTAACTATAAGAAAAATTTTGTAAAAATATTGACATATTGGACGATTGGACGAGGAATATGATCATTCTATTGCTAAAACATGACCTCACTGTATATTTTGCGTTATTCAAATCACCTTGTATCCTTGCCCTTGATAACGTCTTTCTATCAAATATATTAATTAAAATTTGACTGTCACATAAAATATTCATAAATTTGCATGCATAAATTAGTCTGCGGTCAACTATCTCGTAAAAAATGGTAGTTTCTGAATATTCATTGCATTAAATATGTATAAATCAATAACTAATATACCCGAGAAACTTTAGGTGGGTCTTAATGTCAATGCAACTACCTAGTCATGTGAGTTCTAATTGAGGTTTTAAAGCATTACTAAATAATTTTTTCAATTTTCTTCCCGTTCAAAAACAAGAACTTTCAACGGTCTAAATCTCGAAATATACTTCTTTATTTTCTTTCTGCATTTTTTGGATTTATACCAAAGTCACGACTGCCCATGGAACCATAAATTAGATTCCTATAAAAATAAAGATGCTCGTTATAACGCTTTATCTTCTATAGAAGAAAAAATGGGAGTAGAAAATTTAACGACGGCCGATATTAAAATAAATCGCCCGTTGCCAAGTATATATATTAGTTATTTGTAACTTTAAAGATGCTGGGAGTCCTTTGCGTATGACTGTATTTTTTTTTAATTTTTGACTGAATTTTAGAAAGGAGCTCTTGGAATTAATGTTTGGTCAGACATTCTTAAACGGTTTCCTTTTTCAGTATCCTCCGCAGTAAGTTATTTTAAAAAAGTTTCTGAAACTCCTAGTTTAGTTAACTCATGGGTGCAAGTGTACACGCCCGAATAATATAATTTGTCGCAATTTTAATTCTAACAGTCAATTCAACATCCGTTGAACAAAAAGCTGATTCGAACTAAATTTGATTCGTGAGAACTTGTCTTAAGGCTTTTTCAAATAATACATAGATAGCATAATTATTTTAATTTGAAAACCCGTTTTATAGAACTGAGAATGTGTCTCATTTTTTGTCAAAGTATATGATGTTTACTTAATTGTGCCCCATACTTCAAGCCTAAAATTTATTCAAATTTCATGCAATATGGAAACGATTCTGAAATTTTGAATTCAAACATTGAAGGATTAAGACTTCACTAAAAAACGTAGTTAAAATTAAGTACTAGATGCAGTATTTTTACAGCATTAAGAGCTTATTTGTAGTGTTATAGTGAAGGTCTCCTTAGACTTAAAGTATTTGGTATGGAAGTTTTAGGAGCTTGTGTATGTGAGGTCTTCGCAGAGTACCTGTCCTAGAAACTTTAGAAGCTTGAATCCCTCAGGATCTTCGTCGCATTCTCAGAAACTACTATATGGTATGGACTACGAGAGCTGTGGGGGCGTAGAGGTAGTAACATTTTTTAACTCAATTTTGATTTTTTAAAATTTGTGAGATTTATTTAAATTTTCTATCAATTTACAATAAATAAAAGCAATAGCGATAGATGTATATTTATTTATATAACAAAGTATACTCAACAGGCATAGCCCAATTACAGAATATAAGAGAAACGAAATACAGAGTATGTAACAACATTAAAGTTAACAAGTATAAGATATAAACTTAAAACAAATCATTTAACATTAGCTTTAAGGACTTACTACTAGCATTGAATACATCACAATGATTTTGTATATTATTGTAAATTGTACATAATCTAAATAGTGGAGAATTTAAGTGGTAATTTGTTGTAGTTGTTGCTAAGTGAAAAGTCCTATAAATTCTAGTAGGGTACGAAGTAGTACCAATTGTAATAAAGAAAGAAACTTACAATTATCCACCATACCGTGTATCATTTTATGCAAATATATGACATAATTACATTTTCTACGACTTTCAAGCAATTTAAGATCATACTTTTCCCTTAACATTGACTTTTCTTGAATATAATCGTAAATTCCATTCTCTTTATAAGACAAATATCCTTATTTTGCACTCTTTCAATCAAATTAATATAAACATCATAATGTGGTGACCAAATCACTGAACAATATTCTAAATGTGGCCCAACATACGATATACAGTTAAATTTTCTTTCTTGTCCAGGGCTCGTACTTTTGCGGGATTTGTGCCGCGTGAATGGCTTTTTGCAAGTTTATTGAATTATTTTTAGAACATGGGTGAAATTTCGAAATCACTCAAGTTAGACAGTGCCACCTTGGTAAAATAGAAATACGTAAAAAAGCAGAAATATCACAAAATAATAACTCATAGATATTACTTTCTTCTGTAAAATATTATTTCTTCGTAAAATTACACTGTAGGTGTCGCAAGTATATATACAGGGTGTGCCATTTAACACTTCCGCTGCCAATATCTCTGAAATTAAATTTATTTTAGTTTCGGAAACTGGGGTTGTTACGTTCAGCGAATAGCTTCAATTGCAGTTAGAATTCTTAGTACTAATCTTTCTGTATAGATGGCGTAGCGAAACTAAACATTTTTTTTACTCCTGGAACGTGGAAATGCGGTCCATCTAAAAGATCGTTAAATTTTGAGTAATTTTTGCGATACCTATAAAGTTTTTCCCAATATTTACTTGTTTTCGAGACATGTCGACTTCAATATGCAATGTATGATGTAACAGGAAAATTTATTATTTTAGTTAAATCACGCTGACAAAATATTCTTTTAAAATATTGTTATAACGGCTTTATTTTCACCACATATAATAAATTATGAAAAAACAAATGAACAACTGCAAGAAAAGTAACAGAAAGTATTTAAAATAATAACGAAGATGTAGATGTAGTTACTGAAGCAAGTTAAAACAAAAATTATAATAAATGTTCAAAATTACGTCCTTCAGCATTAATACACTATGTGAGTCTTCTCGTTAGTTCGACATTACAGGCTCTTAATAAAATGTCACGATCTAAAGCCACATAAATTTTATTATACAAAACTGCAATATAAGATTTACCTTTTTACAATTTTCTTCTGTAGTTAATAATTTGTTTTTTTTTATAATTTATTGCTTGTTAGTTAGTATGTGGTGTGAATAAAGCCATTATAACAATATTTTAAAAGAATATTTTGTCTTAGTGTGATTTAAATAAAATAATAGATTTTCCTGTTATATCATACATTATATATTAAAGCCGATGTATCAAAAACAAGTAAATGTTGGGAAAAACTTTATATTACAAAAATTACTCAAAATGCAACGATCTTTCAGATGGACCACATTTCCACGTTCCAGGAATCAAAAAATTTAGTATCGCCACGCCATCTATACAGAAAGATTTAAACTAACAATTCTAACTGCAATTTGAAGCTATTCGAGGGACCTAACAACCCCAGTTTCCGAAATTAAAATAAATTTTTTCATTTCGGAGATATTGTCAGCGGGAATATTAAATGGTACAGGAAAATTGTAAAATTACATGCCCAATATAACTTGTCATTTGCATTTTGCATTATCTATCCGTGTCAAAATAACAAATTATTTATTGTATCATTTTACATACAATTTTTATGAGTGTATTATGAATAAATCATCTCATAATTGAATTAATGCCATAATTAGTTGCACGCAAAAAGGTGTAAACGATGGTACAGACAGAATTTCATAACATTCCCAGAGACGTCCAATTCACTTTTCCATCGAGTAACGACATTGCATATTACGCTGTCATGTGCCGACGTCCCAAAGTCCTTTCATCCTTTCTAAATATTCTCAAACACATGCATTAAAATCCGCGATCGAGATCTGTGTCGCAACTCTCGGTCTATAGGAATTCAGAGTAATTCTGAGTCCGGTATCCCTTTGCGCAACGTTGACGCTGTCGCGGTCTAATTGCTCGGTTGGCGTAAAGGTCGCCCGCTGGGGCCCTCGCACCGCGTGTCCGCCCGCGAGTTTTTCCGCTCGCGTTCCGTTTTTATGGCGATTTAATTGGATCGTTCACCGCCTACCTTCCCATCGAAATCTCCACGGAGAGCTTTTTGCAACTGGATTTACGAAATATCGTTTCCCGATGTGCGATCACACGTGTGTAATTAATATCGGAAATGTAAAAAACAACTTTCTCAGAAAGTTGGAAAGTAAATTACATTTTAACGGAGCAGCGAAACATCGCACAAGCGATTCTTGGAAAATGTAGCTTCCGCTCATAGACGGGGAAAGTAATTTGTATAACGTGTCTGTATGTTTTATTACATTCAGCTTCAAAAATACATTAAGACGGAGATTTTTGCCACCAACGAACAGGATGGGATACCAGTATTTTTTATA